TAATATTAGCACAGAGGTTCAGCTCTATAGTTTATCATTAGATTATTTGTTCTTCTGGAAGTTGCTTTAGAAATCTATGAGGTCCCCAGATGTTGAGGACCTTTTATGAAGTAACTGTAATGTTTTTGGTGTGTTTACCCTGGAACAGGATGATAGAGACTATGGGGAAACAGGAGTGTCTAGTGCCTGTAGCTGTTCTTCAGATTCTTACAAACTGATAAAGGCAGTGCAGGAGAACTCAGAGAGTTAAAAACAACTCTGGGCATGGATAGCTGGTATGGGCAATGTACAAGGTAGGTTTCGTTTTGGGTTTTGGAGACTAGAGACAAATATAAGGAGGGGGGAGAGGGGCCAAGCAAACAAAGATGCAAAGGCCAGCAGGAAAATAAGCCGCTGAGAACAGACAGGATGGAATTGGTGGAGTCCAAACACAATAGGAGAGAGTGATCAGGACAAGAGAGTGTAGCATCTCTAAGAGCCAACACTGTAATCTGTGACTTATCCTGTAGGCAAAAACAAACTACTGTAATTTTTACACATAAAGCAAGTATTGTTATAGTAAGATATATCTAGAGAGTATGCAGTCTAAGGAGAGAATGAGATCAGGCAAGTAAGATGACATAAAATAATGTATATGAAACAGGTCACATGTTAGTTCTGCATATTTTTGTAATCATAAGACAACAATAATGCAAATATGAACCAATGAGAGCTGGGTCTAAGGTGATGTTTAAGAATTAATAATGAGATTCTGAGGAGAAAGAAACAATGTGAGTTGCCTTTCCTTCTTTTATCAGATAAGTGTACTAAAAAACAGTACATTTGCTGCTTCTTTGTTCTTCTTTTCTGAATATTTTTCTAAAATTAGGACAAATCCCTTCTTGGGACCAGGGAGAAAAGAGGGGGGAATTGCTATGCTCCTCACCATATAAATACTTAATTTTCTTGATATGTCCTTTGTACCCAAGCATATACTCTTAGTCTCTATAATTTGTTTTTGTTTTGATTGACTTTGATTGACAAAGTCAGGATAATGATTTCTCCTCACCAGGGATGAGAGATTTATATGGGAGACAAGAGGTTTTGGGAACAAGTGACTCATGTCGCCTGGGTCATGACCACCTTTGGATCTCACAGAGATTTTAACGAAGCCAGAATTTCATGCAGCAATGAGACGGTTAAAATCACATATCAACATCAGAGCTAAAAGGCTATAAAACACAAGGCTATTTTAAAGTCTTTAAAACGCAGAAGTGTAAATGAAGTTTTAAGGCTTAAAACACTCAGAAAAAAATTTCTGACTGTCTGGAACACTGTACATGCTTCACTTTCCATCACTCTGAAAACTCATCACTAAGCCATCTTGGTGGGGAACTGTGGCAGAAAGTGGGTGAAGGCAGGGAATGTGAGGGGTGCAAGAAGCAGTGTTTTCATACAGTACTGCAATTTGACCTGAGAATTATTCATTAGAACATTCAGTCACTCACTCAAACATTTATTTCCAGAAGCTTTTGCTTTCCAGGAATTTTGTTCTGTATGTAAGAGACAATTAAATCATATATTGTCCTCTAGATACTTAAGAGTTTATGGGGTTAGAAAAATGAGTAAATGAAAATTTTAACTACACCTGTGAGGGGATAATACTACACACAGAGAGATTCTTGGTTAAAATAGAGAGAATTAGAAGAGCTGTAGCTAAGTTGTGTTAATAAAGTGGGTTTGAGGAAGAAGCAAAAGAAGGTAGAGGGAGCTTGGAATGGGGCCCAAGAGGAAGTGAACTTTTGAACTTGCCTTTCCTTTCCCCACCTCCACCCCTCACCTCTGAAACTCCTTCTCCCTCCTCTGTCATTCATCCACAACCACTCTGCCCTCACTGTTTTTACCGTGAATGATTCCTAGCTCAGACCTCGTTCTCTGATGGAACCCTGAAATTAAGGAGAAAAAGGAGTTTGTATAGGGGCAGTAAGGTAGCAACCAGAAAAATAATATCTTGGAGCCCAACGGAAGAGAAAACTTGAAAGAAAGTAGACACTTGATTAGATGAGAGGAGAAATGAAAAGTATTTTGGAATTGTTGGTTAGGCCAGTGACAAAGTTGGCAAGAGTGTGTGAGAGGCAGTGAAGGTGGAGCTTTGGAGAAGAGCAATGAAGCAGAAAATTTACGCTGTTTTATATATATATATATAAAGAAAAGGAAGACAAGAAGCAGAGGAGGAATTGGGTTAAGGGTGTTCCTTTAATCTCAGTGAAGCTATTTCTATGTTGAAGGGATACTAGTAGCAGAGATACTACAGTTGGAAATAGAGGAAACTGAGGGAGTAAGTGTGCAGCCTGGGAGGGGAGGCCCTGGTGTCCTGGTGGAGGGGATTGCTTTCTCCTCCTCTGTGGTGGGATGGAAGGGGCAGGGGGGAGACAAGCAGGGATGCAGGGAAGCTTGTAGACCTGGAGCAGGATACCTGGTTATGTACTTGCTTCACTAGCGTCCCACAAGAGGACCACAAAGACAAGTGAGACTGTTAAGGGGAAGGATGTCCTAAAGGAGCTCTGCAGAGTCTTGTGGACTCCACCCCTTACTCCAGCTTTCTGGACTCTACCCCCCTCCCCTACTCCAGTGACTGGAAACTACAACTCCCAGAAGTACCAGGGAGAGCACTGCGAGGACCCAAGGGTGGAGCTAAGCAGGCATTCTGGGACTTTGGGGGATAAATATGGCGCCATTTTGCTAATGACTCTCTTGCTTGGGCAATATCTCTTGGGATTGCATGACTGAGTCTATCAGTTAGTTTGTTCCTAGAGTTCCAGTCAGCCTAGCCGGTAAGATATTCTAGTTACCTTGTACTCTCTCTCTTTCCCTTGGTTGTTTCTTCCTTTCCCCTTTTGTAAATAAACCCATTATTGACCCTTTTGTGTGTGACTGCAATACCACTAAATTTTAAGTATGTGGGTGATGACCCACAGACAGGGAGCCCAGTTCACACTGGGGTGCCCGTAACAAGACTGTAGTATATTTTCCCCATCAAACATGCCCTCCAACTAAGAGCGTGAACGGACTCGTAACCTTATAGACCTTGAAATTCGAACATGCGCAGCCACTGCTCCAAGTGCAGGATGCTGAAAAAGGTGTCATCGGGCAGTAGACTTGCTGAGAAATGGAGGTGTGTGATAGTAAGATTGTGTCTGACTTTTTAGTCAGTTTTATTATTTTCTACACTCCTTACTGTTCATATTAGAGTTTTCCTGCCACCCTGAACTTGAGACTCTGTCTCCTTGATGCAAACATCAATGCTTAAAGCAAGCATGTGCAACAAGAGCAAAAGAGTCTGAGAGAAGCCAAGAGGTCAACCTTCATGTTACAGAGGAAGAAAAGGAGGCCAGGACAGCTGAGACCACTCAATACAGAATTAGCAAAGATGGGTCTACAATCCTGTTCTCCTGAATCCTGGCTAACCTCAGGGTGGGGATTTATCCTGTCTGTCTTTCCAGACTGCAGTCTCTTATCTAAGTAAGAGAATCCCAGACAGACCAAATTGATCCATCAGGAAGCCAACAAGTATTTTGTGGGGAGGAGGCAGGACGAATGACTTGATAGAAATCTCTTTTTTCTTTCTGTTACAGAATCAAGGTATTCACCCTTTAAAAGATTTTGGATCACAGCAACAAATTCCTTGCTTTTCACTTCATTTATTGTCCTTTGACAGTGCTTCTAAGGAAATCTGAATTATTAACTCAGTCTTCTGCACTTCTTTAAACTCCAAGTCATATACATTCTTCTAAAGGTGTGCGTGTGTGATGAAAAATATAGTAAATAAAAACATGTATATATATGTGTGTGTGTGCATATATATAAACTTATGTATAAATACACACACACACACATAATCTAAAACCCCAAACCAAGAAGGATAGTGATAAAATATGGAGATGTTGGAAAATAAAAGAATCCTGAGAATGTACCTTGAGAACTTTTTAGTACCTCTGCTGGTCAGAAGTAAAATGTTAGATATAGGATGAATCACACTTTAAATAAAAACACAAAATATCTTATTTCTTAGAAATACTATAGGGAAACCTTACTTAACACTTTTGAGGACGCAAAGAACTAGCCTCTTATTTATGTATTTGGCATATCCTAGTTTTCGTAGGCTGGCTTTGCTCCGCGTGCAAAGGAGTCAGTGTGTTTGCCACAAGACGGGTAAAATAACAGAAACCGCAGCATGGACCTTGAGATGGCTAATGTTTATTTTGCTCAAAGGAAGCAGAGGGGAAACTATAAAATTCTATTATGGCAGAGACTTCCTTCTGATCCAGACCATGTGATCTTTGGTGGCGACTACCTAAGTTCCTTCCCAGTTTTTCTATTTGATGACAATGAAACAAGATTACACTCTGGTAGCTCAGTAGTCCTCAAAGGGCATTGTATAAATGACTGTGAAGCTGAACTGTAGTGGAAGATGACATTTACTTGGGTCTATGCCAGTTTTGCAGGATCACTAAAACATTGTTTAGTACATAGCTAGATACTTGCAGGACAAGAAAAACTACTTCTTCCCAGTGTCCATTCGGGGTGTTATGATTCTACTCCAACATTCCAATTGTCTCTTGTTTGGGCCTCTTTTAGCCTGTGAATTCTTTTCTTTTCTTTCTTTCTTTCTTTCTTTTTTTTTTTTTTAAATAACCGATTTCTTTCCTTTCCTTTTTTTAAAAGATTTATTTATTGATGCATACAGAACAGGAGTGCAGGGGGGAGGGTGAGAAAATTCACCAGAGACAGTGGGGAGCAGGACAGGCAGATCGATGAAGTACACTACTGAGGGGAGCATGGTTGGGTCAGGAGAGGTCTGCCACGCCATGTGGATCAGCTCTGAGGCTGGGGATCGAACTCACGCGAAAGCGGCTGTGGCTACCTTGCAGTGCTGTGTCCTAACCCATTGCGCCACCAGGAAGGGCCTTCTTTTTCTTTAAGAAGAAATCAACATGCGGGGGATACAGAAAAGCTCTTACCTCTCCTGAAGTCCTATGGGTTTCATTTTGAAAGGAGAAGGGCAGACCGAGGTAGTGGCTTTGATTTCAGGAGTGTGTCGGCCTTGAGGATCGACCACCACGTCCAGTGCCTTCGGCGCCTGCTCAGGCTGGACCATGCTGTTGACCGTCTTTGCCTCTGACTGTGTGGGCTGTAGGGCAATGGGTGAAAGGTGGATTTCCTGGTTTTTCTCTTTATCTTGTCTCAAGGAACGCTGAAATTTTTCTTTTAATCTGTAAAGAATCTATGGAAGGAGATAGGAAGCCTCCTGTCACTTTTTTTTCACTGTCAACAAAAAAGCATGACTTCCACCCCAAACTAGAAAACAAAGTAAAGATTTAATGGTCCACAAGTAAGCAAAGCCTTTGGAAGTTTTTCAGTTTTGTGGTACCCGGATATATCCTACAGGGTAGACTTGGGGTTTTTAGTCATGGTGCACATAAAGATCAAGTGTATATGTACATGAATCCATTCCTCAAATATCAAATATATATAAGAGCATATATATATATATATATATATATATATAAGATTTATTTATTTATACATACAAGAGCTGGGGGACAGGCCAGAGGTGTGTGTGTGGAGGGCGGTGAGAGGATTCACTAGAGACAGAGTGGGGAGCAGAACAAGTGATCTACTGAAATATACTGCTGAGGGCAGCAGCGGTTGAGACAGGAGAGGTCTGCTGCACCATGTCACCTCCCTAGATGGAGATCAAACTCCTGCTGCAGTGGCTGCAGACAGCTTCATAGCTCTGAGACTTACCCCTTGCACCACCAGGGAGGCCCCTATTCCTCAAATATATTTAAAAGCATATTTGGCTAATTGATAAAAATGCCATATGTCAGTTAGAACTCATGTCAGTTTTTTGCTTAAAATGACTGACATGGAAGATTCATAGAAGGAATAGTCGTGAAATATGGGCTTATGACATTTATGAAAGCAGACTTATAACCAATATAATATGTAAGAAGAAAGTCTTCCAAAATATTAATGAAAGAATAGTTATGCTCTAAACCATAATTTCTTATGTTGGTAAATATCTACATTGCCCATATTATTAACTTGAGTTTCTGATAAACACAAAAATAGTTTAGTCATCTATCAACAAATTTTAGAATATCAGATTTTCTTTCTGACCCCTTTCTCTTTTCCATTTTTAGTGCATGTTGAAAAAAAATCAAAAGCACACATTCCTCTGAGAAGATCAGCTCTTTCTAGAGTGACTAATTCAATTCAAACATGAAAGTTTTAACTTTTAAATTCTACAAGAACTGTACTGATTGCCTGGACACTCCATGCACCAAACTTAGGTGAGTGGTTTGTCTTTACTATCCTCAGTTTTGTTTGTTTTTTCTTCCCTATCCTATGAAGTCAGAAGGGCCTCCCCCCCACCTTCTTACTTACTTATTTTTTTTGGTTTTATTTGTTCAAGATTTATGGAGGCATATTGAAACATAACATTGTATAAGTCTAAGGTGTACAACATAATGATTTGATATTTTTCCTCTTCTTTTGATGCTGACTATTCTATTCCAGTTGTTGCAGAAACAAATGACCTCATGGTTTCTTTACCTCTATCCTCAAGAAGGGACTTGATAAGTTAACGCACATGAAGTAGGTGACTTAATCTATTGTCTTCAATTATAGCAATGAGGGTAGCTGCATTTTAAAATATTTTAGGTCCATTGACCTCTCCTGTTTAGTTTCTGGCATCCATGAACTGAATGAGTGCTATTTTAGGGAAGAGGACTTTCCCAGCACTTTCCAATCACATTTACTCTAATAGTTCATGCAAATAGTCCTTCCCTCACCCTCTAATCCTACCATGACTACACTAGGAAAAAATTTGCCTGAAATTGTGCAGGAAATAAATACCTTGAAAATTTTATTTCAGGAAAACCTTAGAATATAATTGTCCAATATTATCCAAATACATTCATTGAAAAAAGTCTGTTTAACAAAATAAGAAACGAATAAAAGGGTAGGGAATAAGTGTATGTTTAGTGACTTTTTAACTAGGGGTGCAGAGGGAATAAAAGTTAGAATGGTCACTAGCGGCCCTTCTGACTTAATAGGAATTAAGGAAATTGCGGTGTAGCTAAATGATGTGGCTTGTCCATAGTCAGCAGTTAGATGTGTCAGAGCCAAGCCCTAATGCAGTTCTAACCTGCAGGTGTTTTCGTACTTTCTACCTCTTAATCACTTCTGGTGCGGCTTTAGACCATAGAATCATTTATTATTATTATTATTATCATAGTTTATTTTTACATCATTTTGTGACTTTTTCCATCTCAATTGTAATCCCCATAGACTTCCCATCACCAATTCACCCATGTGCCATCACCATAGTTCTGTTCACATCCCTGTCCTCATTTTTTATCCCATTTCCCCACTCCACCCCATAAAATGTCTCTTTTTGTATAGAGTTGTTCATTATTATCATTATTTTCTCCCCCGGTCCTTTATGCTCCTGCTATGAGTGAAACCATGTGGTATTTTTCTATTTCTTTCTGGCTTATTTCACTAAGCATGATCCCTTCCAGCTCCATCCATATTGCTGCAAAAGACATGAGTTTATCTTTTTTGACTGCTGAGTAATATTCCATTGGGTATATGTACCACATCTTTTAATCCAGTCATCTACTTTTGAGCATTTGGGTTGATTCCATTCTTTCCTAGTGTAAATAAAACAGCAGTAAACATGGGGGTGCAGGTATCTTTTTGAATCAGTGTTTTTGTGTCCTTTGGGTAGATACCTAGGAGTGGGATTGCTGGGTCATATGGAAACTCCATTTTTAGCAGCTTGAGGAAACTCCAAACAGTTTTCCATAATGGTTTTACTAGTTTGCATTCCCACCAGCAGTGCAGGAGAGTTCCTTTTTCTCCACATCTTCACCAACATTTGTTACTGCTATTTGTTTTAAGATGTGCCATCCTCACTGGGGTGAGGTGATAACTCATTGTGGTTTTAATTTGCATTTCTTTTCTTACAGGTTATGTTGAACATTTTTTCATATGCTGTTGGCTGTCTGCATTTCCTCTTTGGAGTAGTGTCTTTTTAGCTGTCACAGAAACTTAAAAAAAAAAAAAACACTAACGAGATATTTTACTAAAATTATAGAAACAATGGTTCTAGTACTGAATATTTATGAGCAAAAAGATACCTCATGCTATAAGTACTTACAGACTCACAAACCATTTGCCTCCATATTTTGAGCCCTCCCTGGTGGTGCAGGGGGTTAAAGCACAGCACTAAGAATCTAAAGCCACTTCAGCATGAGTTTGATCCCCACCTGCCCTGGAGGTGATCCACATGGCACAGCAGACCTCTCCTGACCCGCCCGCTGCTCCCCTCAGCAGTGTACTTCATCAGCCGGCCTGTTCTGCTCCCCACTCTGTCTCTGATGAATCCTCTCACTGCCCCTGCACCTCTGGCCTGTTCCCCAGTTCTGTATGCACAAATAAATAAATCTTTAAAATAATTTCCCCCATATTTTAAGTTCATAACATAAAGATAATCAGATTTACCATTTTGGGGAGAAAGAGAAAAAAAAAGGTGTATTTTTGACCAGATAGATGTCCTCACTGCATGCTCCACTGTTTTTATGCAAGTTTTGGATGAGCAGAAGTGCTGTCATCCAGCATTTTAATAAATCTGACAGCCGTTCCTCTCTGCATAAAAAGGCATCTTTCTATAGGAGAAAACAGGGAACAAAGAATCACTCTGCTCTCTACAACATACCACCTTCATGGCTAACTATTATTCTTAAAGATTGACTTTGAAATCATATCTGCAGCAGATGTGAACCTTATCATTGTTTCAAGTCCTCCTTTTGTGGATTAAAAGCACCCCTTTAGTTCTTTTTGAAAAAAAAATTCATTTATTCATTTTTTTAGTTGAACCAACATGTATCAATTACTATTACATTCCTGAAACAAGATATCTTGAATGCAAAGTAGCACTCTACTCTGTCCTCTGGGAACCCAAAGCTTCCTGAAGAGACAGAATGTAATAATTACATCTGGTACTGAATATCAAGGATCAAGCAGCAGATAGGGTGTGACCCATATTGGTTCTACAAGGACTATATGTCTCTGCTTTGTTTATTCACTCATTCACTTATTCAAATTATGCTTATTGAGGTCCAGTTGATTTACAGCACTGTATAAATTTTAGGGGCAAAGGTTCACCCTTTGCAGATGAATGATGCTCCTCCACTGTGCCCACCACCAGAGTCCCACAGTCTTCCACCAGAATCCATTGAAAAATGTCTCTGGCTTAATATAGGCATTCTCACCTACAGGACATGCACAAGTTGAAGTGATGAAATTTAAGGAAACCACAAAGTCACTCCTTTCCTCCCCCTCCCACACCTATTCTTTGTGTTCTTTATCCTGCTTATCTCCTCTGAATCTTAGTTTTCTTATCAATAAAATTCAGAAATTAAAATACACTAGGTGTTTATGCACATAGTCCATAATTAATAATACTGTAATGTTAACTTAAAAATTTGCTAAGAGGGTAGAGTTTGTATAAAGTGTTGTTAAAACACATAGTAATAATCAGTAGAGGGCAGGTGGAATATTTAGTGGGTGATAAATATACTTTTAGCATATATCATGGTGATATTTTACAAGTCTATACTTATTTCAAATTCTCTAAGTCAGATACATAGAATATGTGCTGCTTTTTGTATGTCAATCATACCTCAATGAAGTGGTTTAGAATATATTCAATATTTAGCGTTAGACAATCAATCTAGAACCATGAAGTATGCAGTAAATGGAAGAAACTAATCATTACTACAGATATTTTATTAGTGTGGTAGAGACTTGTATTCTTAGTTAAATGACTTTTAATGCTGAAAAAATTAAAAATTAGTTTGAGATATATTTCTACTTTGGAAAATGGTTCTGAATCCAAATTATTCCAGTTAAGCATCTGGTCGTATATCTCTCAATACTTAGAAATGTGGCTATTTTTGGCACCTCTGCTATGTATTTACTGTGTGATACTCAGATGTAGCAGGCATCAATTTGGGATCTCCTGCCTCACCTACCAAGCTCCTAACCAGAGAAACTCTTTGTATGACACAGGGATGTCCTTTCCACGGGGCTCACATGCCAAAGGTTTTACTGATTAAAATAACATTTTATATGTTTTTCTAAAATTGTTTTCCAGAAGCATTCAGGTTTATGACATCTCTACATTTCAAAAATACTTTTGCACTTGTTAATAAAGCTCCAGGCACTTTTGAAGGTCTAATTTAGATGATAAAATGTGTTCTTTCTATTACTTATTCAAGTTTAAGAACTCTTAGTAATGAACTTCCTCCACCTAAAACAGACTGAATGGATTGGAAGTTGCCCACACATTTTTTCTTGGAAAATTGTATTTGTCTATTTGTCGCTCCACCCACTCCACATTCACATTTAAGAGGCGCTAAATAAGTCACACATTTGAAAATGTCATGCGTGTCTAATTTTATGCATGCCAACATATATAATTTCTTTTACTTTAAAGAAAATAAACAATATGCCACTTTTCAAAAATTTTGCCAAGCCTTCTGTTGTTGTTATAATAGCACATCTAATCCTTCATGACAGCAATTTACCTATACAATTTCATAATGAAACCACATGCTTTTCATTTCTAGGTTATATGGTCTATTTTCAAAAGTATGGAATATTTTTGATCTTGCAAAAACATAGTTAAAACCAGAGGGAAAATTCTGAATTATATCTTTTCTTTGCCATGGGTCTACAAAATTATGGGAAATCAGAATATATGTGTGAGAATCACAAGAATGATAGATAAATAACTATTGCTGAGAGATCCAAGTGAAAAACTGAAATTTAAATGAAGGTCATGATCAAAGAACAGTACAATATTTACAGAGATAAGCTCATTTTAGTGAGTCACTTTAACATCCCTAACTGTGTAGTGTTGACTTGTCCACACATGCATCAGCTAATGTTAACTTCCTCTTAATCCTATCAGGAAGCTTCTGTTTTTCTATCAATATTAATTCCCCTCCTGCCTGCTCTGTTAGTATTTTAAGTGACCCTTTCACATCACAATTTTTAATTAAGGTTTATTACAATTGACAGTGTTTACCTTCCCTACTTTCTTTCATGTATTCAAGAACTATTGTCAAACAAATCAGAAGTGCTGCTTCTCTTCCTCTTCCATTCCCTAGTGCCCTCTCCCAGGGAATGGCAACCCCACCTAAGATAGTTTAATAAGGTCAGCTTTAATTTTTTTCTGTGTGCCTTGTCAATCTGTATGCAACAAGTCCAGGCAAGACCACTTGCAGGAAATTCAATCTTTTATTTTTCTCCATATCCAGCTCCCCTGGACTAGGGGAGTCTCTTTCTCACTAGGCTAATATAACAGCCTGCAGAAAAGGCCTTTGCCCCCATACCTCACCCCATTCTAACCCCACCACTCACCCCCAGCAGCGAATGTGCCCTGTTCAATACACATGTCAGGATACTTGGGCCTCTGGCCTCTGCTTCCACATCCAGCTCCCACTGTCCTCCCTGAACCCAGAGAGGCAAAGTTTATTGCAGCCTTGCTTTTTCTATTCACAGTACCCTCCGCCTGAAACATGAGGATGTGTCTGATCGCTCTGTTAAACACTATTCGGTTATCTCTTTATGGCATTTAACACGATGAAGACCATCAGTTAGTTTTACTTTTTCGGAATAGTTTAATAGGTTTATAGAAAAAGTAAACAAAGAATAGGAAATGTTTCACACAGTCCTTTCTCCCTAAATAACCTCTCTCATTAGTAACATCTTGCATTAGTGTGGTGCATTTGTTATGATTCATGAACCAGTGTTGATATATTATAATTATCTGTTGGTCATAGTCTAGATTAAGGTTCACACTTTTTGTTTCTTTTCTATGGTTTTCACAAATCCACCATTTATTCATTAATGTAAAAATTACCATTTATTCACCATAACAGTACCATACAGAATAGTTTCACTGCCCTAAAAATATACTCCTACTCCTCTTCTCCTCCCAACCGCTGACAGCCATTGATCTTCTTAAAGTCTCTAGAGTTTTGCCTTTTCTAGAATGTCATACTTGGAATCATATAGCATGCCCATTATTTGATTTTCAAAATGTTAACATAATTATTGTCTGTGTCCTCCCTAGAATATGAGCCTCCCTTACATAAACAAGATCTCATCTGTCTGGCTCCCCCCTTTGCCCACAGAATTTGTGGACAGAAATAAACGACGCATCTACTATCAACCGGGAAGACAACAATCACCTAGATGTTTGAAACATTCCTTCGCCATTTGTTCTAGGAACTTTGCAGCTGACTTAGGTTTCTGAATTCCACTTAGGTGTTTTGTAGGTATTGGAAAAGGAGTTGTCCCAGGCCCCAAATCTTTGAGGGTGTCTATAAAGCTCCTTTCCCACAGGAGACTGATAACTCCCTGAGGGAGAAATGCAGGCTCTGAAACATCCACATCTGTCCACCTTGCTGTTTTTGGCTTCCCAAAGACTGCTCAGGACTTTGCTCACACTTCCCTCTTTCAATCCTTGTTTTTGCTCTTCTCAATCTTACTCATTTACCCCCTAAATGATCTCCATTTTATTCACCTGTGGAACAGACACATCCCAATTGTGACTGAGGAGAGAGCACACTTCAGATGACCTGTATTAAGGAAAAGAACCGCACATTTTAAAGTGTTCTTAACCATAGAAAAGCATCTCATCCTCTAAAACACTATGAAATACTGAGTGACCTCAGCCACAATGTCAACAAACATTCAGCTTTCTCTTTCTAAACTCTTTTCCCTTAATTTCTATCCTTTAGTACAGGAAAGTCCATTTTCTTACTCATTTCTTAAATTATACTTTTGTTTATAGTAGCACAGTTCTTGTAAATCCTTTTTCTTACTATCTGTTCCATAGGAGCTGCCTCTGTGTTTGCTGTGATGGAAGTGTGAGGGTGTTCTGACCATGTCCAGTATTTTGGGCTCTAGGGAACACGTCCATCATCACCTAAATCAAGGCTTTAATTGTCTTAGATTCTTAGAGTTTAGACTCACTCTGCCTTTGTCTTTCAAAACTGAGCCCTAATCTATCCCAGCAGGGGGAGTACAAGAGGATTAAAATCCAGAGAGCCACCCAGCAGTATTACTGACTGAAGAAAGAATGAGAAGTCTGAGGTCTTTTTTGGCTATTTAAACACTAGGGAAGGAATATTTCTAAATGTGCAATATTAACAGCACACAGGGAAAAAAGATATTCAAACACTAGGGAAGGAATATTTCTTAAATGTGCAATATTAACAGCACACAGGGAAAAAAGATATTCAAACTTATTGATAAACTTCAAATATTTTAAGTTATGTCACAAAATTTTCAAAATAATAAAAAGTCTTCATCTATTTGGAAGTAACTGTTAACTCATTCAGTACCAAGTAGGTTAGTTGCCTAGGTTAGTTGGTTTAAGCTTCTTTGGGGTTCTAGTTTTTATTAGAAATATACTTTTAATAACACACATTTATAATTCAGTAATTTACAGAGCTATTACAGTATATACTTTTTATATTACTCATGCACCTAAAAAATTACTTGGTAGTGGGTTGCTTAGTCTTTAAGATTACAATCATCTCTTTTTCATGCCTGGAATTTCACAGAATCCTTTCAAGCCCCATTAAAATTGAGTCTATGAACCACTCTTTAAGGAGTACGCTACTCTCTAAGACATACTTATTTAAAAAAAATTTTCCTGAGTTCCACAAAGACAATAAAGAAGAAGAAATAAAGTCAGTCCAAAGTGTGCCCAGGAAACTGTTGACCAGGAGGCTTCAGTGACCTTGGGGAGTTGCTTTCTAAAGCTTTAGTCTTAGGGTTGATCAAGTTACTAAAAGCCTAAGTGCAATTACAACCTTATTTGGCAAGTCAGAATTCATAGTTCCATAGATTTCCCTTTAACTCTCATTCTGCTCTCAGATATGAAATATTCCTGCTCTAACAGGATCACAACCCTGCTTCTGCTCTGGATCTTTTGAACATTCTTTTGAATGGGAGCGTAGCCAAAAGCACTAAGCAGTGGGATCAGCAAAGGAGAAAATATATAAAGAAGCAAACTTACCATCAAACACGTTACTATAATAACAAAGATGCTGAGAAAAATGACAACAGCATAAAATCCTTCTTTGCTCCAGATTTTGTCCGCTTCATGCTGCCCTTGCAAAACATTTTTCTTTAAAAGCAAAACAGAAAGTCCGATGTTAAATGAAAGCTCGAGCAGACTGGTGTTCTTATCAGACACTAAACATATTTTTAGCTTTATTCCATTCTGTGTAGTGGAACACACCTACATCCCTTGCTGACAGAGCTGCTTCTCAAACTGATGCAAGACAGCGGACTGCCGTCCTCAGACATTACGAGATTATTTTATCTCTCATACAGGAGCAAGCCTGCCCAGCCTGGCATCTGGGGTCCCTCACAGTAGCTCCTGGAAACTACCTGGTTCATAGGTAAGAGAGTTCTGTTTCTCTCTGTTTTGAAGAAATTGTTTCGGAAGCTTTCTTCCTCTGTTTTAATCTCCTCCCACAACACCAACACCCTGCTTTCTGTGCTGTAATTCTGCTCTTTAACTTTTAGATAAAACTGAAACAGGTGCCAACAAAATCTCACGTGTGACTGAACAGAGTGACAATATCAGGACTCCTACTCTCCCCCTCTTGGATCAAACCTTAAAAAAAAAGAAAACACTGTCTACTTTGGCAAATTCTAATTAAAGTACTGCCTTCACCATATCAACTGTTAGAATATTATAGTTTATTTAGAGCAGCAGGGACCACCCAAAACATCCAGGATTATTTGTAAGGTCTAGGGTAATAAAAAGTGAAGTAAAGAATTTCCATTATTCTGATTTGTTTGCTCACTTCTTTGGGGGGAGGGATGGAAGGATAGAGAAGAAGCATGAATAGGATGTGAGTGAGGTTTGTAATTCTATTTTAACCATTTTTTTTTTTTGGAAGGCACATGGGTGTGGTGTGGTAACCTACATCTGAAGAGGTGGGCTCTTATATTCCCGAATCATATACAGTGTTACAAACCAATGTTAATGTAATATATTAATATATATATATACATATATATAAAATAAGTAAAACAAAAAGACCATCTACTAAATTCAAGTTTTAGAATGCAATTACGTCTTATACTTCTGTGAAATTTATAGAATACAGTAAAAGGTACTGAAATTCGAAACCAATGGTCCACAATGAGGAAAATATTCTAAACTCTAAATCAAGTCAGATGCTCAACTCATCTAAAATTCCATTTTATTGAGGGCTGCCTTTTCCTTTTTCTGTACAGAGTGCCTGTCTATCTTTAGCTATTCTCTCCAAGGACTAAGAAAAACCTTGAGCAACAGCTATGGAAGGATGAAAAGTCACATCGAGAGAAGCCCTGGAGAATGGGGGTCACTTTTGTCACGCCAGCAGATGCATTCCACAGCTTACAGTAGCCACCGGTTTGAGCCTGGCTTCAACTATGTCGAGCTGAAATGCCACCTAACTGTAATTCTTATCACCCCGCAGAATGCTAAGGAATGACAAACCTTACTTGTCTCAATGAAATAAAATAGAATGGAAAGGCTTAGGCAAAATCTGTCCTTGTGGATATTAAAGCTTGAAATTATTATTTTCCAACTAGTTTGAAAACTAACATCCACTCAGTGTTTGTGAATCAGACAAAAAAGAAATAGTTCCTTGAAAAAATAGTATACGACAACTTTCATCTTGGAACTCAAATGAGTCTTGGTGGGAGTTGATCAAGACAGAACCGAAAGGACTCTGAGTTCAGTTGTGATTACAAACCCACTTGAGAAAGACTTGTGCTAGATGCAGTTGAGTTTCTGTTTCCTTCATTTGTAAACAGTTGCTGTGCTCACTCTAAGATTTTTGCCTAATTTCTAGGACATAGAGAAATTCAAAGATAGAAGAAATGATCTTAAGATCTATCTTAAAGATATGTAAATTGTTAGATGATGAAGATCCTGAAAATACTTGATGAGATGATTAGAAGGCAATTACTCCGTTGGAAAAGTTATCCTGGGTACAGGTAGCAACTCGTCCTTTATTCTTTTACTTTGGTGAGATCATGTTGTATCCCAGTCTCTATAAACATGGCAGATAGTCAAGAAAACTTCTGTAGAATTCAAGTATAAATTGGAAATGGGGGGCGGGGTGCTTTTTTTTTTTTTTTGCAAGGCAACTAAATAGCATTTATTGCTTGCTATAAAAGCAAACTAGTTAAGCCTTCAAATAAGAAGCATAAACTTGTCAAATTTAAGTATGAGGATCTAAGCTTTAGTTCCTGTAAAATTTGGAAAAAAGGGGTGGTTATGTGGGTGGAAAGAGATTTTGTGTTTCTAACCTGATTTTTGGTTCATTTCTTTTCTCCTGCCATAATGCCACCCCTCCTGAAATATCAGTATGTTCCTTTCTACTTAAGACAAATCTGCTTTGTTTTCTTTTTTAATCAAACAGTGGTGATGGGAGAACTAACTTCCCTCCCCACCCTCAAACCCCTCGTTAGAGAGATACATGTTTTGAACTCCTAGAACTTAGTCACTGTACTTTCTTGGTAAATAGATTTCCTTCTGAGTCATGCTATTCCTGCTGAGCACTACTATATTTGTACAGAGATCTAAAAGACTTGATAAGGGCAGGGTAATAAATGGAAAAGTTTGGAGTCCAGATCCCGCAAGTAAAAAAATTAGAAATCAAAGGAATCTCCAATCTAACCTTTGCAGACAGTCAACCTATGCCATTGTATTTTTCAGGGCACTGAAGGTTCGATAATTCCAAGGTTCCCTCACTGGGTGAACCCGAACTACCTTATCTGCCATCTTGTTAGCTTATTTCTAGAGTGTCACATTTTGCCCTTTAACCTGGTTAAAGGGTGAAGGAAGTTGTTGGACATTGTTTCATTTTATTATTTAAAACATACAGCATTCCCTGCATTGGTAACAAAGACACCATATTTTTCTAGCTGTATCTATGTGTTTATTTGTTTATTTGAAATCATATTTTTTAGGTAAAGTTGGTATACATCACTACATCTTTGGGGGTGCTAGACCCCAAACCCCACAAATGCATATCTTCACACCATGCTCACTACCAGTACCCCAGTTATCCTCCACCATGCTCCATTGCGTCCCCTCGGGCCCTCACTCTTACCATACCACATTTTGTCCAATTTTTTAAAAAATCAATTCTAATCCCCAGTGTGGGGAGAGAGTGTAAATGCTAAGGGAGATGACACAGACTTTGGAAGACATCTTTGAGGGGAAATGAAGCAAAAAGAATAAGGCTGAAGTAGAAATTTTATAAACTGGCCAGCTAATTGATAGACAGATAAATGAGATGTATGTATAAAACGTGATAGTGTTACGTAGATGCCACCCTTCCTGTCTCTTATCTACCAGAACAATTTGGGCTGAATGAGCTGACATATGTCAATCCTAGGTTGGTTGCACTACACAGCCAGGTCTGTAACTTAGATAACCAGCGACGGCTTTTACTCTACAGGAACATCACTGAACTGGGGGATTATGATTTATATTTATTTGCCGTGGCAAATATTCTGTGAAAGTAACAGATGGCACATTAGTCTGTATTTAAAGAAGCTAACTTCCTCCTTTGAAATAGAAGTCCTGTGAAACTGGAGTAATTTGCAGCTGAACCAGCACAGTGAAATTCTAACTCCTGTTTTCAGCCTCAGTGTAGAACTTATTATTTTAATGAACTTTATAAAAACATTTAAAATTAGAAAGTGACATAAAGCACTTTATTTCCCTGAGATTTGACTATTAGGCAAGAAGAAGTCTAGTTTTATCTTTATGAGAATCTTAAAATAATATTTGAATGCTTACAACATTTTAGGTACTACATAAAGATATGTAAAAAGAGTAATATCTTCTCTCCCAAGAAACTTATATTAGAAAGGGAAACAGAAAATAAACAGAAGTAATTCTCTACTTTGTAGTTTTGTTTGTTTGTTTGTTTCCCAAGAGTCATTTATGTCAAAGAAAAATCAAGCAAATAAGGAAATGATAACAACAAAAACATTCTTTCCTGAAAGTAATTAATAAAAGCTTAAGAATAGATGCTCTGAGACATCATTCATAATATTCTGTAATTCCTGTGAAGGATGAAAAACAGGATTGCAATATTCCATTTTTCTGTTGCTAAATATGCTGCCTTAGCAGAGCTATAATTTTGGGATAAAAATGTGAAGGAATCAGTTGAGTCATAAGATGTTATTAAACATTACCCACGAAGATGAATAAGTTAATGGGGAAACTCACAGAATTCCACGAACCAGCTTGAAACAACTGTCGACAGATGTGTGTTCACAGCTGTGCAGTATCCCTGCTCCTGTGTGTCCTGAGGACCCCACCGTGAGGGCCCTTGTGCAGGGCAACAGCTTTCTCCTGTCTCGGCACTTAGAGCTTCTGGGTAGAGGGGATGCCTGGCCATCCGAGAAGTGCCTGAACAAAAGGCTCATGCAATCCACGTGTCCTTGATAACACTCCTCATTAGCAATTAGAACACTTTCTAGTCTCCTACCATGTAAAATATCCTAGATTTCTAGATGCTCACGCTTTATGAAAATAGCACATGTTGACCAGCAGATTTTCTTTCATTATTCAAGTACACTAGAGGCTGTGGCTGCTGGTTGTTGGGAGGGGTGTGGGTGTGGGTGGGGCTAATGGTTAGTGATAGGCTGTCAAGCTAAGCTCTTCACCTTCACCAGGCTGGGGTGTGTTGGTGGACCTTCATATCTTGATTTTAACTAGTCTTTTTGTATGGTGTAGCTTCTCTTTGTCTGGCTCACAAATGAATCACGGAGCTATTATAGCACTATATCTGGTATTTAAAACAACAGGGAGGAATGTTTGAATTATTCACTGAAAGCTTACAGGAAGCAGCATAATTTAATCTGGTGTTTTGTTTTCTTTTTTAATTCAAGGAGGAATTGTCCTGGGCAAGTCTGTCTGTAAAGAGACTGGACTGTGAGAATGGGGCTTGGTGTGATAAAAAGGAAGCCCTTTTTGGAGTCACATGTAGGTAGGGAGTGGGCTTGGGTGTTTAATATCATGCTGATCCTTTGTTCTGGCCTCTCTGAAGCATGAGGTACCCACTTCTTCCTTAAAGCACCTGTGGCACTACTGAAGGAGGAAGTAAGGAAACAGGTAAAGGCAAGTCAGTTAGAAACAGAGTGCCCCAAGAACCCAAGTCTATTTATCAGTCTGATCAGAGAACAATACAGGCCAGGAAGGGACACCACCCCTGTCCAGAACACCAACATAGTAACAATGCTAAAGCAATTGGCTAGAGCTAGGTTCAGAGAGGTAGGCCAGGTAATGTGGGCAAACCCATTGAACCTTTTGGGTCTTAGGAAAACCCCACATACTCTGGATCTAGGAAGCCTAGGAGATCCCCATGGGGGCAGCCAATGGGATCAGCAAGAGACACAAATGCGCCCACCCAATGGCAACTTCTTCCCTACTATACCCATATAAGCACCTATTTCTTACCACTTCAGGAGTGACCCACCCAGACCTCTCTCCACTGGAAAGTTTTCCTGGCCTTCCATTTGGCTACTCATTTGGGACTCCTTGCCACTCAGAGAACTTTCCTGTTTTCCTTCCTATCCATCAATAAATCTCTTGCATTTCTGTAACTTTGACCTTGACATTGAATTCTTTCTTACTGAAGACAAGAACAGAGAAAGAGGCTTCTTGGAATCCTCAGACACTAGGCCTCCTCCAAACCTTGATTCACTATGAGGTAACTTTATCATAGCCCTGTATTCATCAGCTGAAAGTTTTTAAATTTTGTTTCATTAATTTGGTTGTTATTTCATTTACATTTTTTGACATTTCTGACATTGGAAGCCAGGTAACTGAATAAAGGCACCAAGATCACAGATAAAATGGATGGCCATGCTCTCAAGAGGTCTACAGTGCACAGATGAACTTGAAGACCAATGACCATACAAAGCAATGAGGCCCCATGACCGTGGAGGTACAAGGGGAAGATTTACTCTAGAGAAGACTGATCTTGCAACATAAGAGGTACATGAATGGGCCAACACATGCAAAATCAAGGCAGGAAGAAACAGCAAGCCCTACGATGGTCCTTACTAAGTTTGGAATTGCTGAAGCATAAATGAGGAGAGTCTTACTCAATGATTATAAAGTCCAACACACTAAAGATCATGGACCACAGTAAGAAACCCAGACTTGATTACGTAGCATTTCAGAAACCAGAGAAGGATCCTGGATATAGCAGGAATACATTTTCTTTCTGCCAATCCATCTCACATTTGAATTTTATTTGTCCAATGCCCATGTTTTATGGTGATTTCCACATATATTTTTTAAAATTTAGTGCATAGCCAGTCTATAAGGTAAAGACAATGCCTACTAGTATTTTTTTTAACTACACCCATTTTGATGTGGAAAAACAGATGCTCAGAGAAACCAAGGCCCTATGCAGTAGGACTTAATCTCACAGGTAAGTCATCTGACTAAGGACATCTTAAGCACCGGCTTTAGGATTCTAACTCCGTCTTGTACCAAAGTTTTTCATACCCCTCCTGTGATATTTACTGACATGAGAGTTAATATACTTTGCCACTAAGAAGAACAGAGTAGGAATTGTGATATCTAGATTTAAATGTTGCTTTATACCTCTCTGGCTTTGTCCACTTAACTTATATGCCTTACTTTCTATATCTATATAATGTTCACGTTTTTTTTCAAGGTCTAGTTCTATGTATATTTAATGTTTAGGATGATGTGTCTTCTAGCAAATTTGGTAGAATGGGATGGAGTCAAAGTCAAACAGGGACAAGATTCACTCCACGAGTGAGAGTGGAGGTGGGGGTGAAATTATAAAATGTCAAATTTGGAAAACATAAACATATGAAAAAAAATTCATGGTTCTTAAAATGTATTTCTTAACAGAAGTTAAAAAATACATTTTAAATAAATCCCAAATCTGTGGGAAAAGTGAATATCTGATGACTATTTCGACAGTTAAGTCAATAAGGAATGCACCTGCCAAAGAAGAAAGAGTTGAGGGTATTTCTTGGACATTTCAGCTTCAAGTAATCTGACAACTATATCTAAATGACCTTCTCCTAGATAATTTACTGGGTGAGTTAAATTACAAGGCCATGCAGTTTTAGAAAGAAAGTATTAAAAAGTGGAACTTTCTGGCCTCTCTGGTGGTACAACAGGTTAAAGCAGGGTACTATAAGCTGGCTGCAGCCTCTTCAGTGCAAGTTCAATCTCCAGCTCTAGAGATGATCTACATGGCACAGCAGACCTCTCTTGTCTTGCCCGCTGTTTCCCTCAGCAGTGTACTTCATGGATCTGCCTATTCTGCTCCCCACTCTGTCTCTGGTGAATCCTTTCACTGCCCCTGCACCTTTGACCTGTATCCCAGTTCTGCATGCATAAATAAATAAATCTTTTTTTTTTTTTTAAAAATGGAACTTTGATGTGAAAATGAGTTTCCTGAAGGGATAAACATATAGTGTGAAGATCAGAGAATTCTGACCCTCAGGGGAAAGTTTTATTAACAAATAACACGCAGTGAACAGCTTTCATCTTAAATCCTCTTGGAGTTGGGTCACCAACATTGCCAGTCACGCAAATGTCTAAATGAAATTGTCCATGCAATGACATACCTCAGGAGAGACTTCTGTAATTCCAAACTGGGATAAACTTTGATGCAAAACATTGATATTAAGTGAACGCAGCACCTCCTCAGCGGGCAGGGCGTCTGGAATGCCTGCTTTTCTGTTGACGGGAGACACGAAGAGCTCAATGCTGTTCTTCGTTTCCTAGTCAGAGCACATCATTTGTCTCTGTTAATTGACACTTTACACAACTTGGTGAATATTTTTAACTTTGCTCCCCAAGTCTTACATGAAGTGGGGATCATACAACCCTACTGGATACCTTCCAGACCATATTTATTAGTTATTCTCAGGTACACTTAATTACAGCAGTCCAAATTTTGAAATCTTCAAATGGCCTTTTTTTCAGGGAGTGGATACCTTGATATAAACAATTCTATATTCAGTGATGCTAGTTTATTTTGTATTCCATATTCTAATTGATGAAGTATCCCTAAGTAACTATATTTAAAGAAACATTTCAAATCAAGTAAACTCAGTAAAACTTTGACATACTATAATCATTAGATATCATCTTCCCATATATTTTTTCTTATAAGCTGTTTAATGTGAAGCTTGGGCTAACTAAGTTTAGATGAGCTTGGAAGGTGCTTCCCTGATTCTGTTCTGAACCTTAAATATGTCCTACTTCAAAAGTCTCTCTTTTGGTAGAAAGACATATGTTGTACAGTAATATGATACTTTCCTATTACTATTAATTTGTTCACTGAATTGGAGCTAGGGTTTTCTTGCCATAGTGGTTGATATACCACATACAAACAAAAAAATCAAATACCACACAAAAATGACACTATCATTCACAGATTCTCTGCTATAGCTTAAACAATGTACTTAGAGAAAGGAGTTATTATTAATATTTCTTTTTTGATACACACAGCTCTTTCATGCTAGAAAATTTTCTTTTGATCTAATTTATCAGAAGCTCAGTCAGGTATAAAATGGAGTATCATTGTATCACCAGCAACCCAGAAAAAATGCTTCCATATTTACAGGGAATGTCAGACAATAACTATAGCATACGACTAATGTGAGATATATTTATGATAACCAACAGAGTTTCTTATTAATGACCACAGGAGTAGGAACATAAACACTTGTTTTGTGTCTGTCAGGCACCTCTGTATATTAAGTCTGTTATCTCATTTATGCTCAAAACTCCTCCATGGCATAAAGTTTCTGGTTATCTCCATTTCACAAATGAAGAAACAGCAGCTTGCTCAAGGTTACACAGCTGGGCTGTTCCTAAGCTGGAAACTGAGTATGTTTCTGTCTACTTATCTTCAAGGCATATGCTTTTAATCACCTCACTTTGCTGCTACAGGTATTATAACTCCACTTATAACAGTGAGTTTAGAAACAGATGTGCATAAATGCTAACATTTTTCAAATATATGTACATCCTCCCTTGGGTATGGCAAATCTCTCTCTTATCCTGCAAAATACTACTATATGTATTAAATTTATACACAAAAT